AACTCTTGGGCTACTCTTGTACCAACGAATAGTTGTATTGACCGTCAGATTATAACGCCCTCACGGCTGAAAGGGCGAGCATGTTTGGTGGGACGGGGATCCGAACCCGTCTATAGTAATATTGTCTGAAATTTTATTGAACGGAAGATAAGACACTACTACTCACCTTCATTTTTTAACAAGGTAGTAAACCCCTCAAATATAAAATGGTTAAAAAGAGCCTCAGTTGAGTAAAAGTAAATTTATTACGTATAAAAATATGATCAGAGTATAACTAAGGTAAGTCTTGATCCACTTTAAAGACAAGCAGCTTTTCTTATTGAAAAACCAGAAAAAAAATGTCCACAGTAGAAATCCATAATTCATAACAGCTTATTGTATCTTAGACATACCAGAAAAAAACTTAGCAAAACTCATTAGAATTCAAGGCATTTAATGAGCAAACATATGAATGAACGACTTAAATTTACTTACATTTTAACAAGGTTTGTTTTAAATAATTATAATAAATTAAGAAAACTTATTGCGAATATTTTATAGAATTATGTAATTTAAATTTGTTCGTTTTTTTTTTTAGGCTTCACTGAGAATTTTCAGAGAAAATTATTTGGAAATTGTGAAGGTTCTATTCTCGTTATTCTATATAACTCTGTGGAAGTTGCACAAAAGTTTTATTTTCACCACTGTTACTTCGGTAAACTCATGTATCCCTGAAAAAGGTGACTGCTTATGTTATATTTAATGTTTATATATACTTACTTATTTTACATTTCATATATCTAACATATAATAGTAAATAGATGAGAATAAATCTTGAAATCTTTTATTTTCTTTTAAAGCCACAATTTAACCAATACAAACCAACTTTGGGCAAAAACTCACAATACAATAATTTCTAGTGTCCATGAATCATGGCGCCATATGTTTTATTTACAAATCACAGTCGTCAAACTAAATAATCTGATGACGTCAATCGGATATGATGAAGTGTTGAGATTTCAAGACCCACAGATGGCGCTGTAGATCAGTTCAGCAAAAGAAAATTTCTGATAACATTTCCCTGCATTCATTCAACAGAAATGATGCTACACGTACAAGTTCCGAGTGTATAAAAAATACACATCCAAGAAATCATTACACCAAAATAGGAAATGTTTCGAATGACAGTTACAATTACATGCTTGCAAAATTTTAAAGGCTAGCAGTGTTGATATATCATAACGTATAACAGCAGTCCTCTCTCTCTCTCTTGTTCATACATTAGTCAGATAATAGATTCAGCTTTAGATTGAATGGGTAGACTTATATCTAAATAGCTCTGACTTTGTTAACCTGATTTCCCTTTAAATCGATAAGCTTTCCTCTATATTGGATATTAGTAACAATTCAAAAAATTGATATTACGTTTCTGTAAGATCTTTTTTCTTTTATTTCTAGAAAAGTGATCATGTAGCTTATTCTATTATTCGTGAAACATTACAGAGGGGCATTCTTTACTTATGCGTAATGTCAAAATCACTTAAACACAATGTTTTACATGCACAGTTTTTATCGAGCGCCACTGTTTTTAACAGTTCATATTATAAGCGATGTGGCCTTTGCATCCTTGTGCTTCATCTGAGGTTTTCTGAAGACTTATCGACATTTATCGTGTAAGTTTTAGTTTAAACAGCCAGACTTGAAGGTCATCCAGAAGAGAAGAAACGTTAAGTCGTCACGTAGTCAAAATAAATGTCAATATTACAGGCGCGTACTGACTTTTATTCACAAGGAAAAAAGAAACAGACATGTCCATTCCACCACAAATGTCAAATGGACGAGATCCTCAGCTGACTGATTTATTTGTCATTCCAATGACCTCTTATATAGATGATTTTTAGTATTCAACTACATATAAACTCTATTCCACATTAGTTGTCAAATATCATGGGATATTTGAGATCCTCAGCTGACTGATTTATTTGTCATTCCAATGACCTCTTATATAGATGATTTTTAGTATTCAACTACATATAAACTCTATTCCACATTAGTTGTCAAATATCATGGGATAGAAATGTGACTTCTTGTATTTAACAGAGGACCATATCATGGTGAGTATCTTATCAAATGTCCTCGAGGAATGAAACCTAATTCCTCAGCATACCTTTCAGAAACTTACAGATGACCCACTATAAAGAAGTTAAGCAGTTCTGGCAGCCAGAAGTGGAATCATGCATTGTTAAGTCGCTCCCATTTGGTGCTTCTATTTTCTTGTCCAACCCATAAATATCGTCAATGTCGCACTAGCCGTCTGATGTCGTTCGACTTAATGACCGGAAATATCTGAATAGGTAAAACTTTATAGTTTTTATAACAACTTGCCTATTAATATACAGTAGCTCCACTGCATTTGATCAGAAAGTCAAACATGTATTCTATTGTAATATGTGCAAAAACATACATTCTTATAAATGGCTGTTTTTAATTATTACATTCTATGAAAGTAACTGTTTCTTATTACATTCTACGGAATAAAAAACTTTTTAGTTTATTACCTTCTTTTTAAGAACCTATTATTTTTTACAATCAGTGAAAGAAATTGATTTAACTGCATTTTCATACATGATATTCAGTCTCTAAAACCAAACAACAGATGTCAATTTTATTATACCTTTACAGAAATAATTATCTCTAGACAAAAACACTTTAAAAATTACTTATTAGCATTTTTATTATGAAATTAGGTGTAAGGAACATCGGTGGGAGTTGAGAGAAGTTTCTCAGCTAAAATTTGGTTAATCTCAGAGGGATTAGAGGACTACAGCATCTTAAAATGATTTAAAATTACTGGAGGGAGCAACCTAGTTTTTTGTTCAGCCAGTATGAAGATTACAAGACCCTCTATTATCATGAAATTTTATAATCCAAACAGGAAACAGATGAAGGTCAAGAAGATATGAAGCTGTTCAGCGTGGGTTTGGTAAAGGAATACGAAAGAAAGAGTTCGAAGAAAAAGAACCGGGATATGTGAGAGAGAACGAATAAACCGAAAGAGGCAAATGATGAAAGTAATATGCTGCCAGTAAGAAACAAAACCAATTTTTACATCTATGTGTAATTGATTGCCAGTAATAAACAACAATTGTTATGTTTACATTAGTATTAGTCAATTCCTGATCGGAATAAGTACAAACTAAATAAAGTAGATAAACATAAGAAGGGAAGACGAGGTGCAAACATAGTACGATCGTAACGAAGTGGTCTCAGAGTGATCTACAACCATTTTGACAAGTTTAATTACGTGGAAAATTTCAGACGTTAAGAGAATGCTTATCACATTAACATGTTAAAAAGCTATTTAACTCAGAACTAAAAATGTAATGTAATATCTGAAGTTCTATTGGTTTCACAAATATTTAATTTTTTTTTAATAATAGTTAGCTATTGGTTTCGCTTATTTTGTCGACGAAATAAGATAGGATTTGACACTATAATTTGCAGAGCACATTATGATGGTTGTATTTTTGCGTTATTTCTTTTTAAACTTCTACTTTTAACATTTCGGTTCCTTATTTAACATCATATTTCTAACTATATTATTTCTTTGCCAAAATATAGAATAACAATAAATAAAAGTTATTATGAAAGATGTGAAACAGATTTCCTAACGATGTTGTTTTCCGAAGACAGCTATTTTTGGTCACGTCTGAATGTTTTCACTTCGTTCTAGTAACAGGAATAGTGTCCAGCTCTTCTTCTAATTCACATGATCAAGAGAGTGACGCTGTAGTACGTCATCTAAGTCTATTTTAGAAAGACTCGGCTATTGGGTGTTTCTTCAAATGAAGCGCTAAGTGGTCTGAGCGAGAAAAGCACCGTTCGCAGTGGATACATTTGAAAGGTTTGGAGCCTGTGTGCTTACGATAGTGACGGGTAAGCTCGTCTGATCGAGCAAACCGCCATTCACAGCCTTCCCAGTTGCACTTGTAAGGTTTTTCTCCTAAAGAAAAGAAGAGAATCATTAGTTTCATATAGATGGCCAGCTTCCATCATGCTCTTCATAATTTGTTAATACACTTTATCAATTTGAAATTAACAATGTAGTTAAATTATCTAAACAATATATTTTTTAATAAACTTGTATTTTCAATGAAAAGACTTCTAATATAATTTCACCGTCATTTCACTACACGTAACTAAAATTCATCCATGTGAAAGCAACTCATCTGTTTATATTTTTCTTTATGTTAATCAGCTAATGATTCTTCTTCGTATTACAGTTCTCAAGAACTTACAGGTTTTGGCTGAAACTTGATTCATAAAAACAGATTTTGCACACGCAATAAAACATGTTTTATCTACTTAATCCTAGAATAACGCTAACTCGTCGTCTTTTTAAACACAGTTTTCTAAATTATTTATCAGCTAAACTGCTGCCATCAGTGTAACAATTAATCCCACTAATTACTACTTCATCATCCTGGATATTTTACATAGAAAATGAAAATTTTTCACCCAATTGTTTGTCTGTTCTTTACGCTAAGTGTTGTAACAGGTAAAATAATAAAATGACTCAGTACGATATAATACGTTGTCCTCACCATTAGTGAACGGCATGAAAACAAATCGGTAACTTAAGGGTTAACAGATCAGAACCACAAATGTTATTGATTCCGTTTGTAAACTTCATATCATCCCGAGGATTGTGTTCTTATAAAGTTTAGCCTCTTTTCGAAGATCAGATTCCATATTTTGTTTCAACAGCATTGTAACATTACTTCCTTCAGAAATAGGTTGTATGTTTAGAAAAATATATGATGTTAAAACTGTGGATATCAGATTGAAGAACAATACACTATTTTACGTTTTAAAATATTTTAACTTATTTACTATAAACTGTTTCATAACTTAAAAAAGAAATCTGAAAACGATTTTCGATTATATTTTAATAAATATCCTTGCTGGTTACAACACATGTAAAGAACAAAAAGGAAGGTCTCGTATAAAACCAAGTATTCTACACGAGATCAAGACTTTTTCGACACTAAATGTAATAAGAAAAATGTAGTAAAGAATAATTATCAGTAGTTGTTTGCTTCTGTTCGTATTAATATACATTAACTTACAGACTACTGTGTGAAAATACTTTAAGCGAGGGTGGCTACTATACAAAGTATAGAATAAATGATCAAATATTTGGAAGATTTTTGAGATAAAAACATTAAGGTCAAGAAATACAAGTAATCTGTTTATACAACCGTCCATCCTTCCCTCTCTCTGTATCTTTGTATATTTATCTACCTATCAATACGCTAGAAGTAATGTAAAATTGTTATAATAAGTCTACAATAAACACTATTAAGGAAATGTATATATAAGTTGCACCACAATTCTTCCCGAATGACATTAACTGATAACGAGTATAAAAATGTGACATAAACTGATAACGATTATAAAAATGTGACATAAACTGATAATGAGTATAAAAATGTGACATTAACTGATAACGAGTATAAAAATGTGACATTAACTGATAATGAGTATAAAAATGTGACATAAACTAATAATGAGTATAAAAATGTGACATTAACTGATAATGAGTATAAAAATGTGACATAATCTAATAATTCTTATTCACCAGTAAATAAACTAGATCATCATAACGTTTTAGTGAAACCACCACTCTTCTCTCGTTATATAAAATATAAAAATATCAAACAGACAATGTAAGACTACTCTCATCTAGCTTTCAAGTTGATTTTCAACTTATCTTACAGTATTTTTTTCATTTCGATAACAGAAAAAAAAAGTGTTTAAATTAAATCATTTTATCTTTGTCTTAGCCAGGAAATATACATTTACACACTTTGTAACTAGTATTCTATTGAAAGATAGCTTCAAAAAAACAAAAAAACTTTGAGAGCTACTGTTTTTATAATTCTCTTTTTAACTCTAAGTGGAGAAGAATGTTACATTAAAGTTTGATTATTCATCTATGCATTTAAAAATAATTTAAAGTTAAAATACAAATAACAAATTTGTTCATTTACATTAAAAAGTTTGCTTATTCTTCACTAATTGCGTGTGACCGTAACTTTTATTTACAGTAGTGAGTTTCGAGAGTGACATATATACATATGAGCCCCCCAGTGGCACAGTGGTATGTCTGCGGACTTACAACGCTAGAAACCGGGTTTCGATACCCGTGGTGGGCAGAGCACAGATAGCCCTTGTGTAGCTTTGTGAATAATTAAAACAAACAAAACAAACAAACGAATGGCAATGAAATGTTCGGAATACATGAATGTTAGTTAAGGAGTATTAAAGTAATAACATGACATTTAATATGGAAATAGGGAACGACGTAAGTAACTATATTGGATATGCAGTAAACATAGGCTTAGATACAGAAGAAAAAAATAAGCGGAATAATATCACCAAAGCTTAAAAAAAACTTATTAGGTGACCTATCACTCTTTGTCAAGCATTCTAATCTAACTGTTTCCTTCGGTAAGTACTTAAACTGTTATAAATGTGATACATCGCACGAGAAAAACCACCAGGCTCTTAGAATAAGGCTACACAAAATACGCTAATGCTAGCAGGAAAAAAAACCAAAAACTAATGGCTATAATTAATTTTTATTATTAAATGTTGTCATAATTATTGAGAATGAATTAATCAATATATACATATATATAAAGAAAATGCATACTTGTATTTCTTACTTGTATGCAGAAAACATAAATAAATAAATAGCTTTATAGACCACGCGCGACCCAGTAGTTAGCGTGACGGACTACGAAACTGATAACTGATTTTGATCCAGTTATCCCAATCCTATTAAATAAATGAAAAAATCGCGTTCTGCACACTGAGATCATGGGTGCGTAGTGTGTAACGGTCAACATCTTTTTCGATCTGACAAGAGTAGCTCAAAAATTGGCGGGCGGGTGGTGTTGTAGACTAGCTGTCTTCCCTCTTGTTTATCTTTTAAAAATTAAGGACGGCTAGCACAAATAATCTTTAAGCAGCTCCGCGCGAAATCCATCAAACAAGCACATAAAACTACACAAATGTTATTTTATGCATAAGAGTATGTGTAGCCTACTCGGGCTAGGTAAAAGATAATTAAGTTATATAGAAACTAGTGTTACGAGGATATCAAAAAATTTTGAATAACTGAAAGTTTCTAAGACTTGTAAAACGGTGAAGAACATTTAATGATATCAATACACAAATAGAATAAAATAAAAGTGGAGGAAACGTGTCTGTAAAATAAATCGAGAAACATGTTTAAAAGAAATTGAAACGCTCATTAATGTAAATAGGATTGAAAATTAAAAATTAATTATTCTTCAGTCCTTTCCCTCTTCGCTCTGGTCTTAGGTGCATATCTCATAGCAACACCTTTGTCATGATCAGTTGTGCATTTAAGTGGAGACCCACGGGTTTGACATGGATCATGGTTAATACGCTTCATACAGGTTCACGAGTACCTTCTTCAAGCATTCGAGATGTCTCTCCGAAGTGAAGGTGCCCACAAAATTAACAAGTTATATAATAGCTAAATCCATTTGAGATCCAAGTGTTTTGGTGAAGTAGAATGATTTGGAGCCCTTTACGGAAGCTATAGAACCGACGTGAGGTAGAGTATTACATCTACGTCTGTAACATTTGTGTCTGGCAGTGAGTGATACAGTGAAAACTAATTTGTTTAGGATTAGGTGACTATATAATAAGAGGTATCTGGTGTTAATATCACGTTTATAATGTTATGTGTTACAATTTTGAACGGACTGAAACCAAGCTAAGTGATAAGTTAAATATAGTAGTTAAATAAATGGGGATATGTATATATCCAATTATGATATTTGCCAACAAGATTGATACACACAGTTTTCTTTTTCTTTTAATATAAATATATATATTGTAATACACAAACAATAATACAATTTACAATAACAGTTATTACAAGCAATGATATATATACAAAAGTTTTAAAAATGTACAAGCAATATAAAGTCTTCTTTCTAGTCTGAAACTTCCTTATCGATAGTTCACGATGAGGGAGTTAATTTCGAGTTGACGTAGGTACACTTCACTTAATAGGGAGCTAGTTAGCTCTCTATTCTTCGCCATTTTTTCTACCGATAAAGTTAGGTAATGTTTTCGTAAAAGTACTAATGTCCGATGTGAATTCACTGAAGTTAAATGGTTT